TAAAGAGGGAAGGGAAGATACTTATCTGTGTAGGTAGGGGGAGGAGAGGGGAGGCAAGGGGTTGGAGGGGATTGTTCTGATTCTCCACAGTAAGCTCCCCCACCCTCCTCCCTACAGGGTGAATCAGAAGATACAAATCTAGATTCCATTTTCATTTATTTTAACAGTTAAAGTCAAAAATATCTCAAACGCAAAAAAAGACAAAAATATGTAATTGTGTTTATGCATTGAATTTGATACACCCGGTAGAAGGAATAGATTGTAGGTCACTGTTACAGGGGCCCTCCAGTCCTTACAGTTCAGGGGCAAACTACTTTTTTTAAGGTTTATAAAATTTAGGTTTGGGTTCATTTAGGGGTTCAGGTTTAGTTTCATATTTATATATCCTTCAGGGCTAAAAGGTCTTCTAATAAAGGTTGTTTCAGGGATCTTAAATTTCTTTTGGTCAAGCTAAACTATATGGTTAGGTGGAGAAAATTTTATCTCTTTCAGTTCTAGTGGATTCTTAGTATTATATGGGGTTTAAGTGCCAGCAAGGAGCTTCCATGGGTTTAAGGGGCTAGCATGCCATTTAGGAGCTTTCAAGGGGTTTCAGGGGATAGCAGTACCAGCTATAGGAGCCTTTAGTGGATTTCAGGGGACAGAAGTGCCAGCTAGTAGCTTTCAGGGGGTTTCAGGGGCTAGAAGTGCCCGTCAGGAGCCTTCTGTGTGCGTAGAAAGGGATATCTCTAAGAGCAGTAATCTTTTACCACAGCTGCACTGTGGAGGGGGGAGACCTTCAATTTCTTGCTGTATGGTGTATAAAGAAGGCCCCTCCTCTCCCCCTCCAAGGGGGATGTTGACCCCGTTTTAATCTTAAATATTTCAAATTTTATAAAATTTTGCCGTAACTGTAATTAAACCCCATCTTAATATTTTGTTGCTGAAATTAAACTTTTAAAAGTCACTCTTCGATTATTGATATTTTTTAAACCTTGCCAGAGAAAAAATTGTATTCGAACATTTTAAGATAAAATTTTTTTTTATAACTTTCATTGACAATGATTTTTGAATACAAAAAATGATCTGAAACAGTTAAATGATAACAATTTACTTTGCAGTCTGAACCCGCCTAACCAGGGTAGGTTGGTCGAGTTTCTTATAGAAAACATTTGGATACACGATGCTTACTGTTTTAATGTATAATTTAGTGTTTGAAAACCTGTTGATTTTGTATCTATTATTGTTATTGTCTGTAGAGGGTTGATATTCATCAATAGGATGCAGATATATATCCTTAAGTTTGTTTTTGTTTTCATTGTTTAGATTATCTCACTATCTCTCTCTCTCTCTCTGGTTGAATTCAGTCTTAGTAACCTGTTCAAATCTATAAATAGATATTACTATTTTTACATTTAACAAGGGTAGATATAAGATTGACCACAAAGGGACTTATTATTATGGGGGGAGTAGAATTATAAATTATCGTTATTTTACAAACTTTAAAAACTTTAGAAATTAGAGTATTTTGATTTTAACGAATTACCGGAGGTAAAGATGAAAATGTATGTTTTCGAAATACAAACCAAGGATTTTTTAGTAATGACGCAAATCTTTATGATATATTATTATTTAGTAAAGTTGCTTATCATTCTAGAAGTCGGAATGTTAATTTTTTATCTAGAATTTTAACTTTTACAACATTGTCGGTAACAATATTAAATATTTTTAGATGAATTTGACAAAAATCAGATGAAAAGTTACTTAGATATAAAAACTCCCAACCCCTTGTCC